GGGCGCGTGCGTACGTGCGTGAGTACGAACGCGAATGAGTACGCGCACTACATACAAAATGTACGAATAAAAAATATATGAAGCTGCGTAAATGATATGCAATGCTGCATTTTTTTTATATCACGTGCTTTGTCGTGCGTGCGCATGACACAGACACATATTATTATGGTAAATATATTAATAATAAATTATCTACGTGTTTTTTCGCCATCTGCGCGGTCGGACGGCCTATTTTACCCTTAATTACATAGATGCCCTCGTTTTGATACGAACATACATGCATTATACGAACCTCCCTAGGACACTCACTGCGCGCGGGGAGGAAACCCGCTAGGCGGAACAGCCCACGTCAGCGGGTGGGGAGTGGATCCGTCAGGGAGAAAAGCCGCCGCTGTCCGCGGCAGCGGTGACGGTCGGGCGCGTGCGAGAAGGACGGTGACCGCCTGCGTGCGAGGAGCCGTGGGCACGGTGTCCGAGCCGCGGCCGGAGGGCGTAATCACGGCAGCTGACACCCGGTGACCGGCGCCTGCCAATAACGGCAGGCGGGCGGGCGGGCGGGCGCAGCCTCTCAGATGTTGTGCCGAGTGTGAGAGCGCGGCATGAGAGGGAAAAACCCTTCTCTCTGCTGCAGCGAGCCAATCATCGGCAGCTGCTGATCATGTGCTGCTGCGTGTGTGGATGGCGAACAACAACAGCTCGCGTGAGGGTCTGCCATAGATACCCTATACACACTATCAAGAGCGGATAATACCTGTATTATTAGCTCTTGACACTATATACACATGCATCATACGCACGCACGCACGCACACATACAGATATATTCGTATATATATAGGCATATATATATATATACGTATATATAATATACACACACAGTCACACATACATATACATATATCTGAGTATACAGGATATCTATATGGTTTAGCCTGCCTGGGTAGAAGATCAATTTGTTGTTATTTTCATCATGAACTTTCTTGGATATCCGTGGCAAATAGGGCTTATTTCCCCGCCTATACACATAAATGGGTATGTATATCAAGCGTTACAGCTGCGCGCTCTCTCTCTCTCTCTCTCTCTCTCTCTCTCTCTCTCTCTCTCTCTCTCTCTCTCTCTCTCTCTCTCTCTCTGTCTCTCTCGTACTCACTCTCTCTGTCTTTCGCTATCTTAAAATATTTCACACTCTCTCACATCACGAAGTGTAACTGCCACGGTGATCGAATTAAGGGCAATCATCGCAGCTAAGATTTCTGCTTTTTATTTTATCGTCTTACTTTAGAGTTAATCAACTAAACTTAGACTTTTTTAGGACTGATCATGAAGCCTCGTCACTGTGAGTGTCTGGTGACTGATGCGCGCAGGAGCTCACCTGACATTAACCCGATGCCTGATTGCAGCGATCCTATGAGAACAATCACGCTTTTCTTAGCATCTAACACGGTGACAAATTCTGCGAAGAGCACAGAGAAACTGGACCCCGTGCTTGCCAGTGTGAACAAATTTGCGCAGGCGCCCACTAGCACCATCCATGCCCAACCGTGGTCGGCGTGCGGCAGATCCTTGCTCTCACTGCTTCCGTAATTCCTGGCGGCATTTCTCCTCGACGCGGTCTCTTCTCCTGCGTTCGTCGTGGCGTTCGTCGTGGCGTTCGGCGTGTCGTTCGTCGTGGCGTTTGTCGTGTCGTTTGGCGTGGCGTTCGGCGTGTCGTGCGTTGTGTCGTTCGTCGTGGCGTTCGTCGTGGCGTTCGTTATGGCGTTCGGCGTGTCGTTCGTCGTCGTGTTCGCTCGGGTGTCGACCGCGCCATCGATGGTTGTCAACACGGACGCAGCTTTCTTGTCGGCGCCCACTAGCCCACTCTCACCGACGCCCGAGTTCTCACTTTCTATTGCTCTCATCGCATACGAACCTATTTCAAAAATGTTCGCGCACGAGTTTTCCGGTTGACTGCAGCCACTGGGAATGCTGCAATATCAGCGCTACTAGAGCCACGTGGTTAAACAACAGGGGCCCCCCCCCCCCCCCTGCTCCCGTGCCGCTGGCGCGTGCTAT